GACACATTGTATGTCTTAGTACACATTATCCAGTGGCCTGACTGATCATTGTATAGGAATCATTGATAAACATTTTAAACTTTGTAAGCCCATATCTTCCTAGGAACCCAAATACAGTACATGAAATCTTTGTTCCATGGAATTTTTAAGTGTAACTGTTTCTGGCTCTACTTAACTGGAGGTGCTTGCGAGGGGCTAGCACTGGCAGGCAGGCTGACACACTTGTACTCTGAGCACGCTGCATCAATACTGTACATTGCTGTACAGTATAACAATGATACAGGCGCTGTTCTGTTGATACTTGACATAGACAGGTCCTAAAAGTTTTAATGTTAATGATAAAGTTAATCTATAATCCAGCTTCAATTTACCACCTCTCTTCTATATCCCCAATTTCCAGACTTCCATGTCAGTACGCATAGGTCAGAGGTACTAGTTTCTCTAATCTTTCAGACCCTGTTTTGTGCGTAGACAATGGTTTAAATGAGGCCCTGAGAGATACCCTCTCAAGTTATATTGCTTGTTTGGTGAAAATCAATGTGTTATATACACACACACACACACACACACACACACACACACACACACACACACATACAGGGATGACAACAAACTGAATTTCCCTTTGACCACTGTAAGTATATATCTTTATTAGCTTTGAGTAACCTACTGATTTACTAACTGCCTTGATACATTTTTCAGCTACAGTCCAACTCAAGGATTTGTCTGTCGCAATCAAGACCAAGCAGGACGTCGGTGCCATGACTACAAAGTTCGCTTTGGATGCCCCTGCCCCTGCTTCTCACCATAAACTGCAAGATACAAGCAAAATACAGTGCATTTACTCAAGGATTATTTTTTGCACACATTAGTGTAATGGGTTTTATGTTAGGGTGATGTACCTTTCCAAAACGAGAAGCACTTTTTTCTACTGCAGTTGTTGCATTTGACTTTGTTTCAGAACTTTTCTTGCAATGTACTGTATGCATTCAATCTGCGCTGTGCACCCAAGCTCCTTTAGATTGTAAATGTGGAGTTTAGTTACTTAGAAACAATATACAATGTTGTGAACTGTCACTAGCATAGAGCATTTAGTGACTGTAATCAAGATGTTACACATCACAACATGTATGCACATTTCTTCACAGTTGAAGTTGCTTTTGCTGATGTTTGGAAAATACATTCTTGGGAAGTATGTCTTTTCTTTCTATATACCATGATACCTAGTTAGAACCATTAACAGATGGAGAAAAAGAATGGGGCTGTCAGTTAAAATATTCATTTATTGTGATATCTTTATGCTGTGTTTTTAGTTGAACGCTAAGATTAATAACTTCACTAATCTAGTTTGTCCAATGTTTATTCAATGTGGGATTGTTCAGGGTATGAAAGTATGATTAACTGTTCTTATTCAGGCAAAAATGGTGCTATAATCATGATTATCATTTGATTGTTAAAACTCTTAAATTTAACTCAAACAGGTTTTGTAATGTGATATTTGATTGTTGAAACATAAAAAAAATAAAATGTTCCCTTTGAAGTTGATTTTTTTTTCTCAGTTTAATTTAATTTGCATCCCAAATAATGAAATGTTTCCCCAAATCAACATAAAATCTCTTTTCCTAACCACTGTTTTCCTTTACTGTGATGAGAAATGTCACTAGAGCAAGGAAAGATGTGCGGTGGGCCGTCAACCCAATGTTTAATCCAAAATTACCCCCTTGGCATTTGCTGATAGGGAATTTGTGTGTGGAGCAGAATATCCTGAAACGTATGTATAATTTCATCCTTAAATTACCGTCTCAGCACTCAGGCTTAGCCAAGTCTAAGGAGTGCAGGTGTCCTGAGCCCCTGGAACTGCTGGCAGAGGCAGCTGTGTCAGTCAGCTTATGTTTTTTTAATTTGTATAAAAAAGAAACGATACAGAGCTCCTCTTATCTGATATCACATGTCAGCACATCCATGCTCTGTATTCTGAATGGAGCAGGTATGTTGGAGTTAGAGAGTTGTTATTTGTCGCCACCTTGTGAGCTGCCCCATGTAGTGTGTGTCCAGAGCTGGCCAGGGTTTCCTGACTTGACTTATTCAATCAACCCCACATAAGCTGCAGTATTTAAGGACAAGCTCAAACACCACTATTCTGTGAGATTGTTGTCCATCACAGTAGTGGTTACGCTTTGGTCTTTGACCATAGACATCAAATGGGGGCTTGAGCCCCTGCCTTTTTTCTTTCTCAAAAGAATAAATTAATACTATACCCCTGTTTTTACATAGCTTCCCTGTCAACAAATATAATGATGAAATCAAAAAATCGAAATATCAGGTTGGGAGATTAGACTCCCACTGTTGCAGAAGAAGTGACGCCCCATTTATGCAGGAACATGAATATGAATTCAGCAGGTTTTTATTAAGATCAGTGTGATGATTAGAAAACATAGGAGGAGCAGAGTCACTTGTGGACCAGTGACGTGATGTGCCTCAGTGCAGTGGTTCTGCAATAAACCTAAACCGAATGAATGTGAAATCAGTGTGGAGAGAACTGGCCACTGTCTTAGACTTACTGTTGTAGTCAGGTTTAGGAATTGAAAACCTTATTTTGTAAATTACAGCACAATTGTTAAAACAGTAACAGTCTCAAATAAGTTTTAAAGCACTTTCTAAATAAAAGAGAATTCATATTTTGTTTGATTTTATTAACTGATGAAAAAGCAGCCATGTGCAGTATTGTAGGAAATTGTGGATGTGATACATCACAATCAATCAAGATGCATTATTGCTACCAAAGAAGACCATTGTCTCTGTGTGAACTGTTGAATATTTAACAACAGCATGAGTGTTAAAAAATATATAAAATAAAGTATGTCCGAGATGTTCTACTTTATTCAACTTTTTCTTTTAAAACATTTTTTTTCACAAATAATTATGAGAAGTGCCCTTTTCTCACTCGAGCCCCTGCCCCCCAAAATGTCTGTGCACGTCCCTGGAAGTGACCTGTCGTCTCTTTGGTCCGTGTCTGTCAGCCACACTCAGCCAACTGTCACCACCAGTGTTCTCAGTCAACACACTTAATAAACTCTTGCATGTGTCTCAGCTCATGTGTTCTACAACTTGTGTCCTGTCTAAAGGACACAAGTCCTTTGCTTAAAATAGTTGAAGTGGTGAGTAATTTGTGCAGTGATTACATTTGTGTCTATTGGCCCTGACTGGATCCAATTCAAAGCTGATGTTGCTATTTTTGTTGGATATGTTTATTCACTGCTAGTGAGGACGTGTGCTTCCACTGCAGAGCTTTGAATTACTTGAGTGACTAGTTCTGCCAGTAAGATATGATTATTTTTGTCTGTTGACACAGAACTTTGTCTTGCGTCACACAACAATCCTCAGAATATCAAATACATTTCAATGTAAATTCAGTGGTGTGGAAATACATTTTCATCAAGCAAAGGTCCAGAATATCATTATGACCAATTAGCCTAATGGTTGAGTTCAACTAATGTTTAAATATCAGATGTTAAGTCTGTGTGTAGTCAACAGCTGACCAATACAGCAAAAAGAAGCATAAAGCAGTAATATGAATATTTATTGTGAATTGTCACAATAAAGTGGAGGGATTTTAAACATGTTCCCTAATAAAAAAATAATTGCTCTTTTCTCATGTTCAGTAAAAAATAAAATACAAAAGAGTATGTTTGTTTTTGCATCTTAAAATAAAGTGCTTGACTTAAGGATAAAAAAAACATGATAAATAGTGTGAATTAAGTTTAACTGAACAGCTTTAACATCTACTTTTTTCTCTTCTCTTTTCTCGTTCAGTATGAGCCGTGACCAATGGCATGGTCTCGGAACATAAAGGACACACTGGTTTCTTTCAAACTTTTAAATCTTGACTTGAAGTTACTTATATTACTTTTCTCTTCCTCCTCTTGTGTCTTCCTGGTGTGTGAAATCAAAAGGCTCATCAGAATTCACATATTTAAATGGCTGAGGGGCATCGTGTAAGATGATTTACAAAGCATTTGATACATCAGTGAGTTTCTTGGTAAGCTGTGCCAGTTCATATTTGACAGTTCTCAGTGAATTATTGGTTTTAAGTCTGGATCCGAACTAGTGACCTCTGATCTATAA